GTAAAATTGTTCATGGTCCTTTTTATTCTTCAAGATTAGAAGCAATATCTCTCTTTTAGTCCTGATTTTAGTAATTTGGGTCTTCTCTCTTTTTATTTTGGTCAGTCTAGCCATAGTTTTGTCAATTTTCTTTTTAAACGATCAACTTTTCATTTATTTTTTCTGTTGTTTTTCTATTTTCAATTTTACCTATTGCTGCTGTAATCTGTGTAATTTCTTCTGCTTGTTTTGGGCTTAGTGTACTGTTCTTTTTTTTTTAAGGTAAAAGGTCAGGTTGTTGATTTGAGATTTTTCTTCTTTTTTAATATAGGCATTTAAAGCTCTTTCCCCTAGACATTAACTTCATCCCATACTTTTTGGTATATTGAGTTATTGGTTTCATTCACCTAAATTTTAAAACGCATTTGGGACTGCATAGTTTAATTTTCACATATTAGTGAATTTCCCAAGTTTCCTTATGTTATTTATTTCAAATTTCATTCCTTTGTGACTGGAGATCATACTTTGCATGATTTTGGTCTACAGATTCAACACAATGGCTGCCAGTATTCCAGCTGCCTTTTTTGCAGAAATTAACAAGTTGATTCTAAAGTTCTCATGAAAATGCAAGGGACCAGGAATAGATAAGGCAATCTTGGAAAAAGAAGAACAAAGTTGAANAGTTGATTCTGAAGTTCTCATGAAAATGCAAGGGACCAGGAATAGATAAGGCAATCTTGGAAAAAGGAGAACAAAGTTGAAAGACTCACACTTCCCAATTTTGAAGCTTAATACAAAGCTACAGTAATCAAGACAATGTGTACTGGCATAAGAATAGGCACATAGATCAAAAGAATAGAATTGGAGAGAGTCCAGAAATAAGTCATTATATTGATGATCAATTGAGTTAATTTTTGTATGTATTGTGAGATTTAGATTTCTTCTTCCCTAGGGGACATCCAAATACTCTAGTAGCATTTGTTGAGAAGGCTATCCCTACTCCATTGAATTGCTACTACATCTTTGTTAAAAATTATTTGAGCATATTTGTCTGGGTTCATTTTTGAGTTCTCTGTTCTGTTCCATTGATCTATGTGTCTGCCCCTCCACCACTGCCACACTGTCTTGATTACTATAGTTAAATATTAAGCCTTAACATTGGGAAGAAAGAATGATTTCTCCCATTTTATTTTTTCAAAATTATTCTGACTACTCAAAGGCCTTTCTTTTTTAATATGAATTTTAAAATAGGGTTTTCCATGTTTACAAATAAGCTTGCTGAGACTTTGATGGGAATTGTATTAAACCTATAGATTAATTTGAGGAAAATTAACATATTTACCATATTGATCTTCTAATCTATGAACATGGTATATCTCTCCCTTTATTTTGGTCTTTTCTGATGTCTTTTATCACCATTTTGTAATTTTCAGCATACAGAACCTATACATGCTTTGTTACATTTATAACAAAATATTGTATTTGATTTCCTTTGGAGAAATTGTAAATGGTATTGTTTTCTCAAATTTTGATTTCTACTTTGTTGTTAGTATTTGTAAATACAATGAATTTTGTGTGTCAATCTTGTATTATTACTGAAATTGCTTATTAGTTTTTAGAGTGTTTTTAAATAGATTCCTTGGGATTTTCAATGTAGATAATCATGCTGTTTATAAATAGTGTTTTATTTTTTCCTGTCCAGTGTGTGCCATTTATTTCTTTTTATTGCCTTATTGCACTGGCTAGAACTTCCAATCTGATGTTGAATAAGAGAGAATGGACATCATTAGCTTACTCTTGAAGCACTCAGTCATTTACCATTAAGTATTATATTAGCTGTAGATTTTTTGGTATATATTCTTTGAGGATAGTTTCCTAGTTTGCTGAGAGATTTTATTATGAATGGGTATTGAATTTTGGCAAATGCTTTTTTTTTTTTTTTTTGCATCAACTGACATGATCATTTGATTTTTCTTCTTTAATCTGTTGAAGTGGTAGACTACATTAATTAATTTTTGAATATTAAAACAGCTTTGCATACCTCAAATACATCCAACATGGTTGTAGTATATATACTTTTTATACATTGCTGGATTTAATATGCTAATATTTTGTTAAGAATTTTTGTGTCTAAGTTCATGGGGGATGTTGGTCTATATTTTTCTCTTTTTTTGTGCTATTTTTGTCTGGTTTTAGTATTAAAGCAATACTCGCCTTACATAATGGTTTGGGAAGCATCCTTTCTTCTTCTATTTTCTGGAAGAGACTGTGCAAAACTGGCATCAATTCCTCTTTAAAAGTTTGGTAAAATTCTCCAGTGAAACTTTCTGGGCCTGGAGATTTTGATTTTTAGTATTATTTTAATGTGAGCTTATTTGTTCTCAGAAGAACAAATGGAGCCCAAGAAGACTGTGTCTGGGAGGGTCTGGAAAAATCTGGATCTCAGTTTCTGTTGTTCGTCATATGTCAGGTGTCCCTTTAGACCGTAAGCTTCTTGAGAGTAGCCATGTGTGTTGGTCATTATTGGGACCTCAGCACTAAGGGTAAGCACTCCATACGGATTATTGAATAAACAAATCAATGATGCTAGTTGGCCCTCAGTAAATCTTTGTTGAGTTAGTGAATTAATTTGTCCTTGTACAATGTGTTTCAAAGGCAAAAATCACATTATTCCACAATCCAGATGCAGTGACTGTACAAGGGGTACATATGGCTGGATTTGCTTTTCAAAGTGATCCCCTAACCCCCATCAAGAACATTGAAAACATAAAAAAAGAACATTGAAAACATGATAGTAAACAAGAGTTAAAAGGTAAAATATCCAAGCTAGCTATCGTTTGATGAGAGAAGAGACAATGAAGAATGGAGGGTGTTATTAGATAAAGTGGATCCTTTTTAACCCTATGAATTTCAGTATACTGATTTGTGCACATACACAGAGCCTTTGCTCTTTGTGCACTTAGGGAATGCTGCCCAAAAACTCTTACAGATTTGTTCTTGTACAAAAACTCATTTCTCAAGTTATTTAGGAAAAGGAAGAGGAATTGCATGCATAGAAGATACGTAGTTTTTATATCTTTTAACTTTTCTGTTTAGGCTGATCCTCTATTTGGGGCATTTTAGCAGTTTATTAACAGGTCATGAATTGTGTTAGGAAACTCAGAAACCCAATGTCCTCTAATTACTTGTTTGCTTTCTCCAGTAATGGATGACATTCAGGTTTTCATCTGTTTACAAGAGAAATCTGGTAATTTCAAACATAATTAAGAATAAAATCATGATTAATTCAAGAATAAATGAGCCTTATATGTATGAATCATCATGCAAAACAAAACAATTAAGACAGAATGAAAAATTTTTAAAAACTAGCTACTTTGCCCAAGCTTGTCTCATTGCCTTGTAGCCTTGTCAAAGATGGGATTAAGAAGTCCATAGATGGAGGCACATATGGCAGGAGGCAGACATTGGAGTGATGCCTCAGCTACTAATTCCTGAAAACTATGATTGAAGGAGCCTAGGTCTGGCATTAACTTGCTCTCCAAAGATAAAAGTTTTGCATCCATTATCTGGGCACATCATTTTGGTTTGATTGGAAAGGGAGCATTCAGATAGGTCAATTTCTTCTACATTGTCTCCTTCCATTAGTTTTTGATGGGTTGTACACATTTCCCCCTTATCTCTAAATCCTTGGTTTATTGTTTTTTTTTCTTTTTCTTTTGTAGTTTGTCTTCTCTCTTCTTTTTTTTTTTTTTTTTGCCTTTCTTAGAGTTCTTAGTTTCCCATTCCAAATGTTTAAAATGAGAGTTGGCCTTGATCCATGAGTGCCCCCTTTCTACTCTGGTCCATATGTACCTTCTAGGAAGAGGGTACGTCTTGAGTTTATGGATTCAGATGTTGAGTTTATGGATTCAAGTGGAAAGCCAGAGAAAAATGAAAAAGACTGATAAAATTGTACAGCCCAGGCCAAGGGCTATGGTATTGGTTTTTGGTGCCAGAAGAACTTGAAGTGCTAAAGAGAGGTTATGGATGTATATGTTCAGGAAACTTTTAAAGTATATCAATAAAATGCCATCAGATAAATGCTTCACATGAACACCGCTAAAAATTTCAGATTTGATTGGGTCACCCTTGCTCTCATGCATTACCTATACTTATACTTCATATAACTTACCAATTTTAAATATATAATTGTAATTGTGGTTATTTATTTCTTTCATTCCCTCATGTAAACTCTGTAAGAACAAGGACTCATGTATGTATCCCCAGCAATTAGAACAGAGCCAGGCAAATAGCAGATGCCCAATAAATACTTGTTGAATAGATGAGTGCCATCACGTTTCTAAAATCCACTCCTAGGTTGAATAGAAGATAGAATTTGTCCTTTGAAAGGCCTGAGTTTCAGCTCTGGCTTTGCATCTTCTGAGCCATGCTGTCTAAGCGCTCTGAGCCTGTCTCCTCTCATGTTTAATGGAATTTCTCTGGAGGCTCCCAAATAATGAATTATTTGAATGGACATTTTATGGATGTCTGTCTGTCCTTTTAATGTTGATTTTTCACCATCCTCTCCCTATCCCCTTGTCTTCCAATGGATACTTCAAATCCTGGCTCTTTATCTGAGGTTTAAAGTGGGAAAGGAACTAATGGTTTTGCAATGTATTCTTTTTCATTGTGAAAATCTCTGGAAATGAAAACAGTAGAAGTCATGGACCTGAGGGTTAGCACAGTATTGCCACATGATTGCAACTGAACTGCTGAGATGGGGCAAGAGCGGGAAAGTTCTTTGCAGAGGTTACAAATCTCCGCCTCCCTGCAGCGTCCACAGTGTAAAAATCTGTACAAATGAGATACGATGCGAGGCAGAGGCAGGAGCCAGGTGCTGTCACAGGGAGACACTTTCAGAGTCGCTTAAAAGACAGACACTTCAAACTGTGGGAAAGCTGGACCTCAGGAGAAAGGAGATGACCACTCTTATACAGTGCCCTTCCCAACTGCTTCTACTAAAAAGACAGAAGACAAGTAGGTAGAACAGGATGTAAAGTTTATATACAAGAATATAATGTTTATCTGAAATATTTACAATGTTGGTTAAAGCAATATTTTTACAACTTTTTCAGGTCGACTACTATGTATATTACAGGTAAGCTACAATGGTTTAATTTGCAAAAATAAGAAAAAATGTTTTAAACAATGCTTAAAGTACTCAGGTCAATTACAAAATTTGTCTGTTGTGCCCTTTACTCGAAGAAATCGCTATGATGGTTAATGTGTTTTTTAAATGGAAGTACTCTACTGGAAATGCTATACGCTGCAGTTAAGTTCCCAGTGAGGGTGTAAATAACAAGTGAACTGTTATAACACTAAGGCGCTGAGCCTCAGGCTGGAACCAAGAAATGTTGAGATAACAGCCAGCTTTATCTCAACCTGGCTTGTGACCCACAGCAGTCTGGGCCACATACAAAAATGAAGCTATTGGCAACCTCAGCAGAAAGTGAAGGCCAGGTGACCCAAAACAAACAGGAAAAAAACCAAAAAAAAATCAGACCCAAGTCACAATTGTACCTATTCAAAACTAGCTTTAAAGTGAGCTATTTTAAAACTTCATAAAAATATGCATAATTCTTATTACTTTGAATATTTCTACAAGACTCGGGTGGGTTTTTCCTTTATGTGAAAACAGGTATCCATTCCTGAGGCCTCCTAGGGCCTTATAACTCAGGAAATGCTGGGGGTGCAAATGTGCAAAAGGCAGGGGACGCTGCTCCAGGCTGGGGCCAGAGCTGCAGGGACTGTGCTTGGGACACGAGAGCTGAGGCCTCGGGGCAAATGTGGTCAGCCGAGCCCTGGGGCTGGCCTGTCAGGAGCAACCTGAGCGCCAGAACTAGCACTGCAGCTTGCGGATGCTGCGGGAGATGCGCTTGAACTCTCTCTGCCCCTTCTGCCATCGCTTCACAGAGGTGATCACCAGCTCCCCACCCAGTTTCTGTCCCATGACAAGGTAGGGCGCATTGATGTCATTCATCTCCTCGCAGGTGCACTGCAAGCTGTCTTTGAGCCACAGCACCGACTTCTTCAGGTCCCTTTCAGACACCCCGTTCAGCTTGTAAATGGTCTTGCTCTTGGTCTCCAGAATGATTTTCGTATCTCTGTTGATGTAGGTTATCTCCTTCACTTTTATTTTCAGTGCTACCAAGAGGGGATGGAATCACTCTAGTTATAATGAGGGAATACAGGATAGATTGGGAACTCCCCTCATCCCATTCTACTGCATATTCCTGTGACCAGGCTTGGGGGATGGAAGACGAGCTTCTAGAGCTGAGCGACCGTCAGGGGCTGTGCAAAGGGGGTTGGGAGCTTGGGGCAGCAGGTGCTTCGTTTCTAAAGCCTCAAAGGGTCTGCCTTGCACTTTGTTTCAAATCGGCCATCCTTTCAAAACTCCCTTTGTGGGACTCAATTAACTTTCCTTGCCCGCCCTAGTGTTTGTGTGTAGGTTGCATGTGGTTTGTTCTCTGCTCTCCTCAACAAAGGACTTCCCCTATTGGGAGCGTCAGCAGGAAAAGAAATGCCTGACTCTTAGGTGAAACGTGATCTCCTGTGGCTGTAAACTTTAAACTCAATTAATTACGTCGGATAGGTTTTTGGACAAACCTGTAAGGAAATTATATCACACAATCATTGTTTTCTAAAGAACAGACTACAGGGAAGGAGAGTTGATCTTACAGCTGCATTTGATTTGGTAAAGTAACTAGGAGAAAAATATCCAAGACTCTTTTTAAGAGCACATGTTTAGCTGTAAAAGTGTTTTTCTGAAGACCTCATCCTCATATGCTATCATTTGTCTGTCCAAGGCCAGGGCGTTTACAGATCATATATGTACTGTTTCCAAAATGGATATTAGACTCATTAGAATGCTAAGACCAAAAGTAAGTGGTTTACATAAAAGACACATTTTATAGTCATAAACAGCATGCTTTGGGGAAGAAAACCCTGCAAACATATATGTTGGAATTACATTTCAAGAATCCATGAAAGCAGAGAAAGGATAGCATTTTAAGGTTGGAAGAAACCATCCAGTTAAAAATCTCTTGTTGGCACATGAAGAATCTGAAATCCAGAGAAATGTAGTGACTTACACAAGGTCACCCAGTTAAGTAGTGTCCTGGCTGAGTCTAGTTCTCAGAATGCCGGTTCCCAAACCTCCTATAACACCAATGTGGTCTCACAAGGCAACTTCCAATTTCTTGTCCTGGTTGGAGCATAAGCTCGCCCAACTATCATGTGTCCTAAGACCCTTGGTGCCATTGGCAGCTGTTCTGTATAGATACGTACAAGTCTAACTTCCTGACTTTGATGGAGTTTAAGTCATTGTTTAAATTAGTAGTAGAGGAAGAATTTTGTGTGTGAGTATAACAGCTTTGGTGGTTTCTTTCTATCTGAGAAAAGGAATTTGACTAAGAATGAATTTTCTAGTCAACTGGGAAATGACCAAAGCTCAGCCAGGTAAATCAAGGATGCTGTGATTTAGCTAATCATGTTTTTGTCTGATACACATCTGAATCATACTACTGAGTTCTCAGGGTTTATGAGACTTAAGTCATGGAATAAATCACATGTTCCTGTGGCCTCTATGTAAGGTGTGGGGGTGGGGACGATATATGGTGAAAGAAGTGATTATATGTGGCCTGGGAGCCTCATCTATAGTACAGACAGAGCATGTGTGAGATTTCAACTGGTCAAATTAAACATTCTTGAGCTCCAAACATGAAAAAAAAAAATCATCGCTTTTACCCAGAAGGAACATTTATTACTCATATTTCTCTAGCTTTAAAATAACCAGCTTTGCAAAAGATTACTGTGGGGAAACAATCAGGCACTTCCTCCCTGGATTTTCAGCTGGGACCAAATACAGGGAATCAAAGTCCCAGAATAAGTTTTCTGCCCTGGAAGATGGGAATGGGGATGCAGGATGTGATAGTCAGAGGTGATGACACCATCTGATCCAACAATAGGTTGGACATATAAGCAGGTGGCTTGGGCCTTTCTTTCTTCACCAGTACTTTTACTACTGAAATAAGGAGGTGTTCCACATTTCCCTTGCACTTCAGATGTGCAATGGGGAAAGAGTGTGATGTTAAATAAATCAGATTTCTACCCTTGTTCCTTCTACCCTTCTATTACTTCCCCAAAGGACAGAGGCAATATGGAATACTGCTTCTCAACCAGGGGTGTGTGATGTACTTCCAGGTTCATTAGCCCTTTCGGGACAAAAAGGGGAATAGAAAACAAAGCTTGTGAGGTATCTACATGTGTGATACTTTAAATGTAATGACTTCTATGTTGTTTTGAAAGGCTTTCTCCTCTAAGGAAAGAGAACACTAGTACACATACACACCCATTTTTTTGGCCCAGTCTTGACTGAGTATCCTTAGGAAGGTCTTCTGTGTGTGCATATGTGCATGTCTCCTAAATCAACGCTTTTGGAACCCCATAGTATAACCAACATTTTCATAGAAGCCTGGAGAGAGATCTGGATTAAACCTAGTGCAAAGGACATAAGCTGTCAGAAGAAGATTATGTAACTTTTAATATAAATTTTATTAAAATTATATTATCTCTCTTGCCCTTAATCATATCTGATAGCGTGACGCTAGCAACTGTTTAGTAAGGCCCGGGAGATTTGGGATTGCTGCTGCCCACATGCTAGACCTTGAGAATTGTATATATTTGAATATAGACATATGAAACCCTATCATCCCACTTGTGGCTCTGGCTAAGGGGAAGGACTGGTTGGGAAGAGTTGCCTCCTTTCTTTGTCCCTTCCCTGGCATGGGACACTTCTCCTGAAGCTGTGGCTCTAGTTGTTTTGGGACCAGCAAAGAATAAACCCAGGATACTTCCTGGAAGAGACCTGGGGTTGTCAGGACAAGTGTTAAGATTTTTCTGAGTTTCAGGGACCCGACCAGGCTTGAGATTTCTGGGAGGGCATTCCTCAATAGAGGCAGCTGGAGTGATTTCTCTCAGACTCAAGTACTTTGTTAATTAGTAATATAGATCTGTTAGAGCCACTACTGTTTGATAGAGCAGGGATCGTATCTTTTTACCAGTAAGTTTAGCCTTCTGCTTGAATGAATGCTTCTAAGGGGTACCAACTAAAACACATAAAAAGGTGCCTGCTTTTAGAATAGGATGAAGGCCAGAATGCCTCAGGAGTCCAAGTGAAGTTCTTGGCCAGTCCCAACTTTGAATTTGTCATTATCTTGTGTCTAGGTGGGCTCCTCCCTCATTTTGGAGGCCTGAGGGCAGCAGATAAGGTGCTGATAGAGTCCTGTGTGGACAGTCTCCAACCCTCTTTCCTCTTATATTTTCTTAAGGGTAGTGACTTACACTCTATGGAACGTGGGTGACATATCACACATTATTTATTGTCTCCAAGCACCATGTCATCATGGATTTTTCATCTATCTTGCCAAGTAAATTCCTAAGCTTTATTTCTTCTTTTTAAATGTAAGGAATCCCTCCCCTCATTATCAACCAGTATCTTGGATATAGTTGCTAATGGTTATGAACAAAGTAAGAATATTTCAGTTTGGCTCTGGACTAAATTTTTATTTGTGGCCAGTGAATGCTTTTGATGTATTTTGCTGGAGCTAATATTTACATGTTTCCATCCCTGGTGCATGTCAAGTGTCAGAAAGAGAACATGGCCCAGGGTTAGGCTTGTTGGCAAGAAAAAGCCAAAGTGAAATGAAAAATATGCCATTGAAAATTAATAGTTTGAATAATTCTCATTATTTGATTATTGCTTAATAGAACAATGAATCTCATCTGAAAAGATACAACTCAATATAAGATAGTTACACAGGGAGGAGACCAGGATAGAGCAAGTTAGATGATTTTAAGGAAAGGTGAAAGGTGATGGTATTTTACTCAAGTTATATCTAGTAACATCTTCATAATTTGCACCTTTAAGCTTTACTGGTCAATAAGACTTTTGAATGTGAAAGCTTTTGTTGGTGGTGGTGTGTTACTTACCAAAATCATTTTTACAAAGAGTTTCCATTATGTCGTTGTCATCCTCGTTTTTATTTTTGCAGGCTTCACAGACCTTTGGAGCTAGAAAGGTGAAACATTAGTAAGTTTGCTTAAAAGGGAACAGCAGGTGGCGTTTGTAAACAGCTCAAAGGGGCTTACCAGGCAAGAGTAGCGACTGTCCTGGAAGACCCCAGCTTCTGTCTCTTTTATAAAAGAAGGACCAGCTCTTCCTAAGGAAGTCTTCCCGTGCTTCCTATTTTTGTGATGGACAAAAATGCCTGTACGCTCTGTTTAATAAATGGTGAGTCCCAAAGAAAAAGGGCTTTGGGGGCTGATTGTGCAGGCTTTTTAGTTCTTACTCCCCATTTCTGGGACAAAGTCTCTGAAAAAGTTGTTTCCAAATCCTCACTGAAGAGAAAGCACCAGAAGACTCTTGAGAGATTTCTGTAAACGTAACCACAAACTATGGCCAAAAGATTGTCCTTCTCAGCTGTAGGACACGAGCGCAACCAGGTCTCTGCTGGGCTCCTTAGCAGAGCTGTGTCTTGGGAGAGGCATTTCAAGATATTTTCAAGTCTGCACAGGCAAAGGTGGCTAGTGGTGTAAAGGTCACCTAGGGGCTCTTTCCCACCTTGGAAACATTTTGGTAAGCACAATAGCCTGCTCTAACCGGTTCTGTATCACCTTGAGCTTTCTGTCAAGTTTGTGCTTGGGTTAAGCAAAATTTATTTAGTTTTTATCTTTGTCCCTTGGGAGAGGATCTTCTTGCCCCTCTGTGTTTGTTTCAAATTCTCGAAAACAAACACATAAAACAAAAAACAGCCAACCAAACAAAAAAACCAAAGCTTTTCCTGAAGCCAACTGTCTCTGGGGTCTGACCCACCTAGGAATGTGCACTAGCACAATGACCAGAGAGCTTACTGAAGGCTCTTCTGAAAACAGTCTGATTTCCGGGGAAAGGAAAAAAGAAAGCATATTCCCTTTCTCCCATTTATAAATGTTCTGTCTTTAAAATTTAGGTGAAATTTGATTGATTTTCATTAAATCATATTAAATTTCATTAATACGAAATGGCATTTTCACAGAAAAAAACTTTGTGATTCATGACAGAAGAGTTATTTATCAAATTAGAAAAATGGCAGAGCATATTTTGAAAACCATAAACTTTTATTTTGAAGGGAGAAAGTGGCTTTTGGGAGAAAGGTAATGTACAATGTTGGTGCTGATAGTGGGAAGAAATAAAAACAAAAGCAACACACATAAAACTGCCCTTAACTCCCCTCACTCAAACAAAATGAAACATTTCCAATTAGGAGCTCTAGGAATGTATATAAAACGTTACTAACCTGTATTGCTTGGTCTGTGGTGTATGTTGGACAAATGTTTGAAATATGCCAAACATTTGCAATAAATTAGAAACCTAACCAATAAGATGATTGCACACTCATGGTGCCTGCCAGGAAAGATTGCTAAGCAACTTTGCATTTTCTTTAACTAATGATGGCTGTAGGAAAACAATTAGAGATTGAAAGGGAGATGCTGCTGGAGCCCTGAAAGGGATTAGGAAGCCCCCTTTCCATCCCAGGGGGGACCTAAATCAGCTCAGACACATTGTGTATGTTTTGCTTTCAGGAAGAATATCAAGAGCCCATGAGGTTTTCATTGCTTTGATGGTTTTTTCACAGGAACTCCCCCTCTGTTTTCTAAAAACTTGGGAAACTCTTTTTTGCATGGTTTTCTCCAGTTAATTAAAACCACTCCCAAGATAAAAGCTGACTTGTGATAGAAAACGATTCCTGGAGATTCCCTTTATACCCTCATTCTTAGACACCTGAGCAGTTACAACCAATGCTCAATTTTCAACACACTGGGAGCCAGTCCTGCTTTTATTTCCCAAATCAAGAGCAAGTACCCTAAAAGACTGTTTTGTGGATTTTGGCAGTTCTATCTGTACACGAATGTTCCTGTGCCGAGAACCCTGCCCAGCCATGAGGCTGAGCAAGAAGCCTCCGCCCAGATGCACCGATTCCTCCACCCCGGACGGCTCACAATTTAGCCGCCCCCCTCCCCCCAGCAAAAATAATTGTATTTCTATAAGGAAAAGATACCTTTCAGTTATTCATTTTCTTTTCTTTTTTTAACTGTCCCTAAGAAAGGTATAACTGGCATAACTCGGGAAGGGAATGAGAGGCTTGGGGGGGGGGGCGTAATCTCAAACTTGTCAGGGTGACACACCAGGGCAAGGAGAGCGCCAGCCCCGCCAGGACTGGCACCCCAGGCGGGAACGCACAGGGATGCGGGGCGGGGAACTCGGGATTCCCAAACCCCCCCGC